GAACCTGGCGGATGCCAAGCACATCCCAGAAAGGCATCCGGCAAGGAGCAGCATCCAGCTGGCACGAGCAGGGGCTGGGGACCTGGATGGGACCCAGCCACCAGCAGGTGCTGGCAGAGCCGGGGGGTCTCAGAGGGTGAGGGGGGACAAGGGGGAGCCTGAACCCTTCCCATCTCCCCCTCCTCCACCACTTCTCTTTTGCAGACTGTCAGCATCAATAAGGCCATTAATGCTCAGGAAGTGGCTGTCAAGGAGAAACATGCCAGAAATATCCTTCCCAAAGTTGGCCATGAGACAAGCGAGCGTGGGAGCGCGGCCGGGGCTGCCCAGAAAAGGGGCAGCAGCAAGGTGGCACATGGGGAGAGGTGTCGGGGTGCTGAGGATGCCCTGGGTAGGACCCTCATGGGCTCTCAATGATGGTTGGGGTTTTTCCAGCATGGCAGAGGGTCCCTGCTCCTGCTGCTGCAGCCTTCGCTTGTTGGTGGGTGCCCAGCCTTGTGCTCCCAGCACTGCTATCCCGTGGGAGGGGAGAAGGGGTGGATGCCCACAGCAGGTTGCCTGCCTGGGGCGAGGATGCTTAATCCCTAGAGGTGCTTGTGAGCATGCTGCCATGAAAAGCAGATTCCCAGCATCCCAGCAGGGCTGTCAGGAAAGCTTGGCAGATGTACAGCCCCAGCCCTGAGTGTGCTGTGGTGCTCCTGGAGCAGTGGCGTGGGGCTGGAGGAGAGGGGACAGTGAGTGCTACCCTTGGGGACAGCGTGTGCCGCCCTTGGGGACAGCGTATGCCTGGGCTTGGCTTCAGAGTGGCCACTCTCCATCACCACCAAAGGGGAGAGGAGTGTTTCCTTGACCATCCACTACCATGCATCTTGGGCACGCACCACGAGAAGGGAGCACAGACCTTCTGGTCGGTGGTGAACCGGCTGCCGCTGTCAGGGAATGCCGTGCTCTGCTGGAAGTTCTGCCACGTCTTCCACAAACTCCTCCGGGATGGCCACTCGAATGTAAGTGCCACGGGCTTGGCTCGGCAGCTGACAAGATCCTTTCCCTGGCGGGGCTGTGTGGGGTGGTGGGAGATGCTGGTGGGTTGGTGACCTTCTTGGGGGTCAGTCCTTCATGGCAACTGCTGCAGGGACCCTCCCCACTCACTCTGCCCATAACCCCCTGTGCTACAAACCCTGGTGCTGACCAGTGCCCTCCAGTGCCAGAGCAAACTGCTCAGCACAGGGCATCGACATCAGGGTAGGAGCCATCAGCAGAGATCCTGCCTGTGTACAGATGGGGAAACTGAGGCACCCTGGGGCTGGTGGGAGTGACACCACGGGCAGGCTGCAGGGTCGGGAACAAATCGAGACCTCCTGTTCCTGACCCCAGCTGCTGACTGCACATCTCACACACCCTGCCCTGGTGCTCTGCCTGTGCTGCCTGCTTATTATCACTGTCATTCCTCCAGGTCCTGAAAGACTCTGTGAGATACAAGAACGAACTGAGTGACATGAGCAGGATGTGGGTAAGTGGCCAACCCCACCAGCTGCTATGATGGGGACACTCTGGGGGACCCTCTGCAGCGTCCGGCACCCAGCCAGGCTGGGGGGTGGTGGGTTGGAGGGTGCTGTATCCCAGGAGGAGCCAGGCTCCAAGGGCAGAGCACATGCTCTGCCATGGCTGACCCATGGCTACTCTGGGATGGGTTTGCCGGTTGCGTTCGGTATCCCCTTCCACCAAAATCAAATGCCTTCTTCCTATTTTATGGCAAACCCCAGTAAAACTCTTGCTTTGACCATCAAAAGCAGCACTGAAGTCTGCAGATAAAGGGATAAGAAGGTCCTGACCAAATCCCTTCAACACGTTTGCTGCAAGCCAGCCGGCAGCCCACATGCCAAGGTGCCAGTGAGGAGGGGCTTTGGCTGGGTTTTTGGGGGAGATAAGGGAGAGGTCACTCACGCTGCAAGGGGAGAAGGCTTTTTCACAGCCTGGCTTGCATCTCAACAGCTTTTTGGTGTCCTCAGGGCCACCTGAGCGAGGGCTATGGGCAGCTCTGCAGCATCTACCTCAAACTGCTGAGAACCAAGATGGAGTTTCACACCAAGGTGAGCATCCCGTCCCTGTACCCATGACCGCAGTAAGGGCTGGGCACTGGGTGCTGAAGCAAAAGTGATGGCAGTGCTCTGGGGCAGGACAGGGGCTGGCAGAGCTGTCACTCCTGTGGGTCCTCTCCTCCGTCATGGCCATCCTTCTGCCTTCATGAAACGTGCCCCAAACTGCCAGTGTCCATCCTTAGCCTGGATTAAAATTGGCCCAAGAACCAGCACTTTGGGATGACAAGTTTCCTGGTGGACCAGGGCTGCTTGGACACATCTAGGCTGAGCTGGGAATTGGTGGGCTACAAGAGGCAGTAAGAGACCCTCCCATCTTTGGGGTGCATGATCCCTCCCAGGTATCCTAGGTGGGCAGAGGTGGAAGAGGCCATGGAGTTCAGGAGTGGGGAGGGCTTAAGGGAGGCCGTACCACACTCTGCTGTACTGTGCCTGTCACCAGCACTGCCTTGGCATGATCCACAGGGACTCAAGGGAGCCCTGGTAGGGCAGGGCCAGCACCAACGTGTCAATCCCATGGAAAACACTGCAGCAGAGCCTGGCTTTTCTGTGTCACCACAGGTGTGGGGAGGGATGGTGGGGATTTGGGCCAGGGAGGTCCCTGTTGGTGCATGGAGGAGGATGAGCACCAGTGCCTGCTCCAACTGGTTTGTGAGCACGGGGGGGTATTCGCCATGGTCTGCAAATGAAGTAGGTTCAGAAACCTGCCTTCGCTTGGGACCAAGGTATGGGAGTAAGGTGCTCTGGTGCTTTCTGAAACAAGTATTTTATATGGGCAGGAAAAGTAGAGTGGAAGCAACAAGTCAGCCTGGAGATTTAAGAACGACAAGGAAATAATGATTAACTTAATCTAAGCACTGCTGAGTGTGCACAGTCTGAGTTCTCGTCAGAACTTCCAGCAGAGTCACAGATTTGAGGTTTCTTTATGCACATCCAGTTCATCCCAGACCGTAAATCTCACCTTAGATTTATCAGGAGATCAGGCCAAGGTAGCACAGAACAAACCCCTCGGCCTGAGCAGTCTCAGTGCTCCCAGGGCTCTGGGGGTAATCCACCACTTCCCTGGGGAGATTATTCCAGTGGCTGATTGTTCTCATTGTGAAAAATTTTGCCCTTGTATCCAGTTTGAATGTCCCCAGGAGTAACTTGTACCCATTGTCCCTCATTTTTGACATGTGACTCCTTGTAAAGAGAGTCTCCATCTTCTTTTAGCCACCTTTTAAATATTGGAACATGGTGATAAGGTCTCTCCTGAGCCTTATTTTCTCTAGTCTGAACAAGCCCAGTTCTCTCAGCCTTTCCTCATGTGGCAGGCTTCCCAGTCCTTTTATCACTCTTGTGGCTCGTCCCTGGCCCCTCTCCAGCCTGTCTGCATCTTTTTTGTATAGCAGGGACCAAAACTGAACACTGTATTCCAGGTGTCGCCTGGCAAGCTCTGAGTGGGACAATGACATGCCTGTCTCTGCTGGCTGTGCCCTTGTTGATGTTCCCCAGCATTCGTTGGCTTGCTTTGCCACGACTGCAAACTGTCCACTCCTATTGAGCTTGTGTCCTCCAGGACCCCCAGGTCCCTTTCCACAGAGCTGTTCCATAGCTGGGCAGATCCCAGCCTGTGTTGCAGTCTTGGATTATGTTTACCCAGACCTCTCGTACAAGAGTAAATGGCAGTACAAACCACCTGCCCATATCAACATCTTTTTTTTGTCTCAAGCAAGCCAACAAGTCATGAATCTAAACTTATGCATTTATAAGTAAACAGCTCTATGACCTGAACTTTAAGTTAAAGCCAAATGTTTGACCCAGTATTGCAATATTTGTTAAAGAAGATTATCAGCCATCAATATTGTACGTTATGCGATGACAGTGGATCACATCGCTGTATACCCATACCTTTCATCATATCTCATCTAAATCTCCCCTCTGTCAGTGTAAAGCCATTCCTCCTTGTCCTGTCACTGCACTACATCTACACCTACTACATCATCTCCTCCCTGCTCCATAGGTTTCTAATCCCAGGGAGAATTGGCTTTTCTTGCTGGGGAGAGTATGGGCACCATGGAAGGTGCTGGGGATGATGCAGTCACCCAAGGCTCCGCAGACCTCGTGTCAGCCCCTTTCCCCCCTGCATCACTCCCACTGGGCATCCAAAGAGTTGTACATGTCTCTTGCACTGAGGCCACTGACTGGATCAGCAACACTGGTGCTCTCAGAGCTGTGTGATCCTCCAAAACCCATTCCCGACTCCTGTGTCTCCGGCAGAATCCCCGCTTCCCTGGCAATCTCCAGATGTCCGACCGGCAGCTCGACGAGGCAGGGGAGAACGACGTCAATAACTTGTGAGTGTGGGGCAAGGGCAGGGGTGGGAGGTGGGGGTGTTGTGCAGGCAGGGCCATGGCGCTGCCCAGCCTCACCAGCAGCGCTCAGCCAGGAGCAGGACCTGGCACCTTCCCCCCAGCCCTGCCCCAGGTGCATGGAGCCCTGCTCAAGGCTGGTGCTTCCATGCCAGCACACCTGCTCGTCCCTCTGGGGTGTCATCTTCACACATGGAGAGCCACAGGTGGCCATGGGAACACTCCCCAAACATCCTCATCCCTTTTTTCCTAGTTTTCAGCTGACAGTGGAGATGTTCGACTACCTGGAGTGTGAGCTGAACCTCTTCCAGACGGGTAAGCTCTTGCACTGCCCTGCTCTGGGGAAAGGCTCTGGGGAGGAGGCATTGCAGCTTGTCTCTGCTCTGGGCACTTCACATGGATTTCCAGCTGAAGTCCCTGCATGCCGTGCTGCCTCCAGCAGTGCCATGGGGTGCTGAGGCACTCACGGGAGCATCTTGCCTTCCTCTGTGTGAGCGAGCAAGGGGTAAAATCACCCAGGCTCAAGCCTTCGGCTGTCGCACACCTCTGCACGCTCGAGCAGGGTCAAGCTTGGGGTAAATTAAAGTGATTCTGGGGCAAGCTTTCAATTGCTGCATGCTCCAGGCTGGGGGTGCTGGCAGGACAGAGCTGTGTTTCAGTAGGACTGGAGCCAGTGCCCTCACCTCTTGGCTGCACAGGGGGAGGGTGCCAGTCCCAGGGGTGCTCATCTGTCCCCAGAGTGCTCCCAGGATCTCTCACTGTTCCACCCACTGGAGAGGAATTGCTGTGTGGAGAAAGAAGCAGCTGCCATCGTCTCCAGCCACCCTGCTAGCATCCCACAACTCATGGGAGGCCCACAAGGCTGGACCATCAAGATGGTCACTGGACATATCTCCAGCAGCCAGCATGCCATGCTCCCAGCACTGGCAGAAATACTTTTCTGCCCTGGTGTCGGTGATGGCCGTGGGCCAGTGCTGCCAGACCCTGCTCATCCAGGTCATGCTGGACTGCATCCTTCTGTAGCACCCTTTCAGTATCTAAAGGTGGCCAACAAGAAAGCTGGAAATGGACTTTGATAAGGGCCTGTAGGGACAGGGCAAGGGGAATGGCTTTAACCTGCCAGAGGGGAGATTGAGATGAGCTCTGAGGCAGAAGCTCTTCCCTGGGAGGGTGCTGAGGCGCTGGCACAGGGTGCACAGAGAAGCTGTGGCTGCCCCATCCCTGGCAGTGTTCAAGGCCAGGTTGGACACAGGGGCTTGGAGCAACCTGCTCTAGTGGAAGGGGTTGGAGCTGGAGGAGCTTTCAGGCTCTTTGGCACAAACCAGTTTGTGAGTCTATGATCCTGCAGCCCAGGCACGAGGTGCATTTTGATGTGATGTGGACAGAGGATTGGGGATGCCAGCTGCTCCCAACTAGTTTTGGAGCATCTCCCTGCCGACTCACATGGCACACCAGAATGCCAGTGGGACAGCAGTGACTGGCAGAGCACAGGGGCTGCATGCCCTCGGGGATCAGGAGCTCTGCCCGAGGACCTGGCTGGGGCTCAGGACTGGGCACCTCCAGACCCCAGTTCCAGGCTGAAGTGTTCCCAGTGTGGGAGTCCTAGGTGGGAATTTCTTCTCCCACCAAGCATGCCGACAGCTGTGGGGAGCAGGCTGGGTCCCCAAAGGCCGGCAGGTCTCTTCTGCAGGTGACATTTGTGGACATGGCTGACAAAGCTTGGCACCCACCGGTGCTGTGGTGCTGCCGGAGCCTGATCCTGTGCTCCTTCCCTGCAGTGTTCAGTTCCCTGGACATGTCGCGCTCGGTGTCGGTGACGGCCGCGGGGCAGTGCCGCCTGGCCCCTCTCATCCAGGTCGTCCTGGACTGCAGCCACCTCTACGACTACACTGTCAAGTTGCTCTTCAAGCTCCACTCCTGTAAGTGTGCCCAGCGCCTTGGGCAGGGGAGGGCACAGAGTGGAACACCAGGGGTCACCACGCAGCTCATCTTGATCCCAGCCCTTCTTGGGGGGTGAAGGGAGTCACATGGGCAAGGGACAAGGAGGGACAAGTGCTGGGGGATGGAGCTATCCCAGGAGCCTGCCCTGCTGACCACCCCTCGGCCACAGGGCCAGTGTCCATCAGGAACTGCCCCGGTTTTGGACAGGCACTGGCTGCAAAACCCACATACTTTGGGACCTTGAATTGTGATGGCAGCTGCCTGAATGCCACCTCCCTGCCTTTCCCTGTCCTGGTGTGTCTGGTGTGGCACATGATCTCCTTCTGCAGCAGGACACTGTGCCAGAGTATTCAGACCTGGGAGGAGGGTGGTCATCGCTGGGAAAGACCCATCCCCACATGGCGGTGCCAGTGGATTGTCCCCTGATCTGTGCTCCTTCCCAGCGTGCAGACACCCACTGATGTTTCTACTTGCTACTTCTTCCAGGTCTGCCGGCAGATACACTGCAGGGCCACCGGGATCGGTTCCTGGAGCAGTTCAGAAAGTAAGTGCCCAAATGTGGGACAGATGTGGGGCACTGGCTGTTCCTGCTGCCAGCAATGCTCCAGGGATGCTCCTGGGGCAGAGGGAGGATGGGGGGAATGCCAGAGCCCCTGTGTTGGGGCTCAGGAGCTGAGTGATGGAGATGGAGGAGGTGCAGGAGTCAGTCTTGTCTTGAGGCTCTGAAATCCAGGCTGCTTCAACCTCTTGGCTTTCTCTGAAGCTTTCCCCAGGGAAAAGTGGTTTCTGCTTGTGGCTCCATTGTGAGAGGGATGTGTTGGTAGGAGCAATGGGGTAGGAGAATGCAAGCAGCACAAGGAGGCAGATTGAGATGCTGCTGTGGGGCAAGGGTCTGCATTAGCCCTGGTCATGGCGCTGGCAGATGGGAGGGGGAAAAGAGATTTTCCCCCCCAGTTCTGTTGAATTTTAAGGAAAATTGACAGTTTCACAAACACCAGGGACTTTGTTAAAAGGGGTGGCTAAAGGATGAAACCTTGGGGTATTGCAAAGCTGAGGAGGGGTCAATGAAGAGTCTTGCCAAGAGCCTGCATGCCAGGGGGTGGAGTGGAGCAGAGGTGGCTTTTGTGTGGGAAAAGCCATCCCTGCGGGGACACAAAAGTAAAAGGTAAAGCTTGAGGCACCTGCATCTGTCCCAGATTAAGATGCCTGTAAGAGAGATTTTTAAAACTGCAGCTAAAGGGTGTGGGAGGAGAGAGCCAGAACCAAGTTATGGTCACCCAGTTACAGCATGGGATGGGTGGGTGCTGCTGCGTGTTGGAGGTGGGCATTGGGTTCATGAGAGGCCATGAGCTGCTGCAGGGTGATGCTCGATTCAAGGTCACAAACTGCAAACCAGCGCCTGTGGCAAAACTACTGGGCATGGCCATTAGCAGATAGCAGGATGGTCTGTGGGCTTGGACACCCTGGGCACAGCCCTTGGGGCGGTATCAGCAGTGCCGAGATAGCAACCGGGCTGCTGGGGTGGCTGGAAGGGAGGGCAGCCGTGAGCGGCACGGCCGGGCAGTGCCGGGCCTCCCCAGAGCTGGAGATCCTGAAGGAGAGGCGGGGTGCTCCTGCGGGCGCTGCTCCTGGGGGGAGCT